CCACCACCACTGCTGCTCGAGACCTGCCGAAACTGCCTCTGAAAATGATCACGGACATCTCTTGCTTCGATCTGTCCAAACTCTCCTCGGTAGACAAGGCTCCTGCTGCCAGCAAGCTGGTCGTCTCGCCCGACAAGCCGAAGAGCGCCTCGATCACGCCCACGCGGCCCAAGTCGATACTCACCAGCCCGTCGTCCGACAAGCCGAAGAGCATCCTCAGCCCTACGTCCAAGTTGTCGCCCACCGACGCGAAGAACGTCGTCTGCAGTTTCTCCCCGACGAGCAGAAGCCCGTCGAAGAAACAGAGATCCGCGTCGTTCGACTCGAAGGTTCGAACGGAGATCGTGATCGAGGATCGAACGTGTATAAAGTCGTCCAGCCTCGACAAGAAGCAGCAGCCGTCGCCGATCGAGCCGACGACGACGACGACGACGACGACGACGACGGAGAGACGCTCGCCGAAAGTGTCGCCGACGGATCCGAACGTGACGATCGTCTCGGTGATACAAAAGAAGAGATGGTCGCCGTCCAAGAGCTTGGCGGCCGTGGCGCAGCGATCGCTCGACTCCAAGACGACCAAGACGACGACGCAACCTTTGAACTTTGCCGACGTGGTCGGCATGGAGATGAAGATGAAGCTGGAGCGGAAGGCCAGGTCGTCCGAGATGGAGAAGGACAGTCTAAAGACGCCGGAGCGAGACAGCTTGGAGAAGCAAGACAGCATAGAGAAGATACCGTTGCCGGAAATACCGAGACCACCACCGGCTGTCGTCACCGGCACCGATCAGCCGGAGAGCGAAACGAAGGGAACAGCAGCAGCGTCGGAAACGATCGTACCGGACGGTGAGAGGAGGAGCAAGAAAGAGGAGAAGGAGGTGGCGAGCGTTGCACAGCCAGAAGAGAGGAAGCCAAAGACGTTGGAGAAGCCGAGCATACCGGAGAAGACGAAACGCATCCTCGAGAAGATCGAGTCAAAGTTCTCGGAGGCGAGGATCGCCAAGCCGAGGATCATCGACACGGGGTTCGACGATTTCGTGGAACCGGTGGCTGACCTGCCGCTGGACGAGGTGCCGGTGAAGCCCGCGCTCGAGCTGGACAGCCTGAAGGTACCCGAGTTCGTTCCTTTCGTCTCGTCGAGGCCGCACGGCGAGTCCCTCCGCTCCAAGTCGTTGTCGCTGGCCGAGGAGAAAGCGCCGATCGACACGCTCCTCTCGCCGGAGGTGGAGAACAAGCACTTCGTGCCGGACGTGGTCGTGTCGCCGAAGAGGGCGAAGAAGGCGAAACCGGAGCCGAAGAAGGACTTTAAGAAACAGTCCAAGTCGCTGGAGGGTGACAAGCCACCGTTGAAGAAGGCTAGCTCGAAGGAGTCGTCGCGCGTGTCCACGCCGAGCTGCTCGAAGATCGACAAGTCGAAGCTGAAGTTGGGCGAGATGCCGCAGGAGATCATCATAATCGATTCGACGGACGTTGCGCCGGAAGTGAGTATCGTTCAGAAAGGTAGATCCAAGTCGATCAGCCGACTGCCCGAGAAGGGGGCGATCTTCTCCGCGTCGTCGTCGTTGTCGTCGAAGGAAGAGGCAGCAGCAGCAGCAGCAGTAGCTGCTGCTCGAGCGAAATCTGCCTCGGTGGACGACGATCTGATCAAGAGCAGCGCAAAGGGCGACAAGGCGAGACCAAAGTCGCTAGGCATTTCCAAGAGTCTGGGTAGCAGCGCCGAGAGGAAGGACTCGGCGGAGAAGATCTCGCCGAAGAGGACTAGGGTGGTGAAATCCTCGACAGAGGTGAAGTCGCCCACGTCGACGACGGAGGAGCCACCGCCGGCCAAGCCACCGCAGCAGGAATCGAGAACACACGCAAAGTCGAAATCGGAGAACGTCGAGATCGAGTCGGCGGAGACGAGGAGCGGCCTTGCGCCGCAGGATTCGACGCAGGATTCGACGCAGTCGCCGGTGGTGTTGCGCAAGCAGGACCAGACGCCTGTTCTCTTCGCGCGTGCGCGTCTCGGTCTGTCGGAGGGAAGCGGGATCGGCGCGTTGCAGAGGCAAGGAGCGACGCAATCGCCGACCTCGCAAAGACGGGCCAAGTCGTTGGACGCCCCAGTGATCGCTGTGCACAAGCTTCCGCCGGCGAACGCCTTCTCCAGCAAGGACGACACGGTCGACGTGTCGGAGAACCCGAAGGAATCGGGCACGGAGACGACTCTGCCAGCTGGTGCACCATTACCACCACTACCACCACTACCACCACCACCACCACTACCACCACCACCACCACCGACGAAACCTCAATCGATTCAAATCGAAGCGTCGCCGAATCACAGGTCGGACAGCACGGATCATACCACCGTGCCGGAGATCTTCACCGATTCCCTCTCCGTCACCGAGACCTCCGCGCAGTATCTCGAGTCGCCGTTGACCGAGTCGAACGAGATCATCACGGCCAGCGTGGACCTGATCCCGTACGAGAGGGACGACGACGCGTTGCAGCTGGACGGAGCAGCGAGCAACGAAGGATCGAAGGATCAAAGGACGACGATGCTGGAGTCGGTCAGGGTGGACGAGAGGACAAAGTTTATCGACCAGAGTTCCGTGGAGTCTGGCGCCGAGCAGCAGATGGCAGTCAGAGCGGAGAAGATCGATCTGCTCAGTGTTACGAAGACCATCGACGGCTGCTCTGTTGTTCCGCAGTTGCAATACGATCAGACAACGACAACGACCACGACGACGATCTTCTGCGAGTCGACTGGGAACGTAGCGATAGAAACGGAGATCTCTGCGATGCCTCTGCCGCCGCCGCCTCCCGTGGAGACCGAGAGCAAAGAGCGACGTCAGGAGGACGCGAAGAAGGATCTGACGAAGAGAGACGACCTTCCCGACGTAACGGTGACCGGCGTTGCGCGAGAAGACGGCGGGACGACGAGCGGTTTCCCGACGGTCAGGACGATCGACTTTGACGACGGGCAGGACAACATGGTCAAGTCACCGATTCAGATCTCCATCGAGGAGTGCTCGGACGATGACAACGACGACGAGGACAAGGAGGACGTAGAGAGAGGAGAGGAGGAGGAGGAAGAGGAGGAACGAGAAACGCGAGAGCAGCAGGAAGGCGATGAGAATCGGCCGACGACGTTGGACTCGGCGGATACCAGCGAGGACACGCTCGACGCGCTCGACACGCAGGTTCACATGAGAGGCATCGATAGCGAGTTGAGCTCGCCGGACTACGGCGTCGACAAGATGGACGAGAAGACGCTGGTGGAGGTGGAGTTGACGCCCGAGTATCTGGAGATGAGACGAGAGGACGAGGACGAAGGCGAGGAACTGTTGGCCGAGGAGCTGCCAAAAGACGAGGAGGAGGAGGAAGAGGTTGAGACGGGAGAGACGGCGAGAGATTCAGCCGCGCTCGAGGAAACGTCTTCGAGCGGGAATCGTTTGTCGATCGAGAAGAAGCTTCGACTGCTGAGCAGCGAACGATCGAGAAGCGAGGAGACGACCAGCACGTGGACGCCGGATCGCGAGGACCCAGAGTCCAGTTCCTGTTCGATAGCTCGACCTCTGGGCATCGGCCAGATCCAGCCGATAGTCGATCGTCGGGAAATAGTCGCGACGGCGAGGGAGACGCGCGGTCCCGGAGGAGGTTCTTCGTTGGAGGACGAGAACAGCAACGGTGGCCCGAGGCCCGAGTTGAGTTCCACTTGGAAGTCCTTCCCTCTGGAGAGCTCCGGCAGCTCGAGCATCGAGGACGGCTGCTGGACGACCGGCCAGGACGAGAACAACGCCGCTCAGTCTCACTCCGAGGACAGCAACGGGCAGAACGAGGACAGCTTTCAGGAGGATCTGGCCGGCAGTTTCATCTACCCGATCGGCCCCGATATCCTCACCAGCTGCGGCACGTTCGCGCTCACGCGGACCCTGTCCAGGATATCCGAGAGGTCCACCACGTCGGAGCAGGACAAGAGCGACGACTTGGAGGACTCGTTCAAGCCTAGCTCGAGGTCTCCCAGTTTGGACGACGAGTCGCTGATATCCAGCGATCATCAACTCTCTCTGTCTTCCGACCCGCCGTCCGGCACGCCACTGCCCTCCATCTCCGAGGATCGGCGCACCTCCTCCGAGCTGCCGGACATCCCGATAGACGTCGTGGCGAGCGAGCAAGACGAGGAGGCTGCCGCCAAATCGCCCAAGTCGTCGCTCGGCGGCGGCAGATCGGCGAGGAGGCTGCAGGAACAGAGCTCGGAGGATTGGCCGTCGCCGCCTAGCTCGCCCGTCTTCGAATCATCCGTCGCCGTGGTCAGCCACGTGGAGACCTTCTACATGGAGATCAAGCCCGAGGAGGCGGTGAAGGTGACGGTGACCGACAGCACCGAGACGCCGAGCCAGCTGCCGGACCACGACAACAGCGACGACTCCAGCGACGACTCCAGCGACGAGAACCGAACCCTGCACGACGATCTTCTTCACTCCACGTTCCTCGAGGACGGTCACAGTTCCACGTCCGCGACCACCGTCGACGGCACCGTGAAGATCGCCGTCAAGCCAAAGTCCAACTCTCACGTGACGGCAGGCAGCTCGCACAGCGAGGACACCTCGATGGGCCTCTCGATGTCCGAATGGTCGAGCTCGAACAACACGGTGCGCCAGTTTTGCCAGTATTCCGGCACAAAGTCGGACGACAACTCGCTGGCGGAGCTCGGCGCCTCGATCTCCGATTGGTCGGGCAGCACCACCGTCGTCCCGGCGGCGGCGGCGGCGGCGGCGCAGCAACAGCAGCAGCAGCATCACTACTCGGTCGAGAAGAGTCAGAGCGACACGACCACCTCGGACAAGAGCGTGACCAGCATGAGACCAAACTCCAAGTGCAGGTCGGCCGACGGTGTCGCGCACTCGCCGCCGTTCCCACCGCCGCCGACCTCCCCTCCCCTCACGCTACCACCACCACTACCACCGCCACGTTCCGCTTCAGTTTCCGTCTCCGTCTCCGTCTCCGTCTCGCCGTCCGACGACTACCAGCAGGAACGACGACCTGGTCCGATCGACAACTACTACGACGACTACGAGGAGGAGGAGGAGGAGGAGGAGGAGGAGGAGGAGGAACGATGGAACGACGAACCGTCGTCCTCGAGGAGATTCGTCGTCGTCGAGGACGACGATCAGTCGTTCGACGAACAACGACGACGACGACGATGGGCAGGAGGAGCCAGCGTTTGTACCGCGTACATCTCGCCACCTCGGATCATTCTTCAGAACGAGTTCGACGAGATGATCGACGACGAGCTGTGGCTGATGTCGGACGACGGCGACGCGCCGCTGCCGATCCTCGAGGAGGAGGAGGAGGAGCATCAGTGGAACGAGCAGCTGGAGATGGCCGCGTCGTCGATGGCCGCGTCGTCGATGGCCGCGTCGTCGATGGCCGCGTCGTCGATGGCCAGGCAACGACGAACGATGGCCAGGCAACGACGAACGATGGCCAGCGACGATGGCGGACGACATCTGTACGAGAACATTCCGCCGATCAATTATCTGGGCGGCGATCAGATTCGAATAATCTCGGAGGTCGGCCATCGAGGGGGGGGCAGCTCCGAGGACATGCACGAGAGGTACGCGCATCTGACGCTCGGATCCGCGTCCCGACCGACCGCCGACGACGACTGGTCGTTCGAGGAGGAACGGGAGGAAACGAAGGAGAAAGTGGTGGTGACGGCGGCCACCAGGTTGTCCAAGCGTGGTTTCACCAGCCCGATTGGACCGGGCAGGTATTACGAGACAAGATCCACCGAGCGACCGGGCAGGTATCACGAGACAAGATCCACCGAGCGACCGGGCAGGTATCACGAGACAAGATCCACCGAGCGACCGGGCTGGTATCACGAGACAAGATCCACCGAGCGACCGGGCAGGTATCACGAGACAAG